GCATGTGGCAGGCGCCTGTAATTCCAGCTACTCAGGAGGCTGAGACAGGAGAATCACCTAAACCTGAAAGGCAAAGGTTGCAGTAAGCAGAGCTCACACCACCGCACTCCAACCTGGGTGATAGAACATGACTCCATCTCAAAAAAAAAAGTTGTAACAACAATTCAGGAACTCAGTTAATATCCCAATTTTAGTTTCCAAAAAAGAAAAATACACTAATATACTTTGTACTTTTTTCAAAAGTATTTACTTTGTACATATTTGCTTAATATAATTTGTTAATATAATGAAATTATTTCAGAAAGTTTGAAGACAGAAAAAAATCACCTTTAATCCATGATCTTTTTTTTTTCTTATTTTTTCAAACAGGGTCTAGCTCTGTCACCCAGGCTGAAATGCAGTGGCACAATCACGGCTCGCAGCCTTGATCTTCCAGGCTCAAGCAACTCTCCCACCTAAGCCTCCTGACTAGCTAGGACTACAGGCATGCACCAACATGCCTGGCTAACTTTAGTATTTTTTTTTTTGTAGAGACAGGGTTTTGCCATGTTGCCCAGGCTGGTCTTGAACTCCTAGGCTCAAGCCAATTGCCTGCCTCGGCCTCCCAAAGTGCTGGGACTACAGGTGTGAGCCACCTGGCCCATGATCTTATTAGTAGACATAGTTTACACAGTTACAGTAATAATGGTCATAACATTTTATATACAACTCTCCCTACGCTTGTAACAGGTATTTTCCATACTCCATATGTATCACTTTATATGTATCGTATTTACATGTCTTTATATGTATCACTTTAAATATCTACTTAACATTCTAATGAGTGCATCGGTATATAATAATACGTCACTTAAAGACTACATTCTGAGAAATGAGTCCTTAGAAAATTTCATCCTTGTATAAACATCATAGAGTGTACATACACAAACCTAGATGGTACAGGCCAGGGGTCCCCAATCTCTGAGCTGATGAACAGTTTGGGTCTGTGGCCTGTTAGGAACCGGTGGCACAGCAGGAGGTGAGTACAGGCAAGGGAGCATTACTACTTGTGCTCTGCCTCCTGTCAGATCAGCAGCCGCATTAGATTCTCATAGGAGCACAAATCCTACCATGAACTACGCATGCGAGGGATCTAGGTTGCACGCTCCTTATGAGAATCTAACTAATGCCTGATGATCTGAGGTGGAACAGTTTCATCCTGAAACCATCCCCTACATAAATAAGATATACGGTATAACATATTTTTCTTAGGCTACAAGCCTGTATGGTGACTGTACTGAATGCTGGAGGTAACCGTAACACAATGCTAAGTATTTATATGTACCTAAACAGAAAAGGTACAGTAAAAATACAGTACTATCATCTTATGAGGCTGGGCACAGTGGCTCACCCGTGTAATCTCAGCACTTTGGGAGGCCGAGGCAGGTGGATTACCTGAGGTCAGGAGTTCAAGACCAGCCTGGGCAACATGGTGAAACCCTGTCTCTACTAAAATTACAAAATTTAGCTGGGCATGGTGGCACACATGTATCCCAGCTACTCAGGACGCCAAGGCATGAGAATCGCTTGAACACTGGAGGCTGAAGTTGCAGTGAGATGAGATCACACCACTGCACTCCTGCATGGGTGACAGGGAGACCCCGTCTCAAAAAAATAAAAATAAATAATCTTATGGGACCAGTATCGTATAATGCAGGCCACTGTTAACCAAAATATTGTTATGGAGCACATGACTGTATTTGTGTGTGTGTGTACATACATATATATGAAAACTACTAGAAGGATAAAAATAATAATTGTTATTTTTATTAGGGGATGAATAAAGCAGAGGAAGTCGGGTTAGAGAGAGTTCTCTCTGTATACATTTTCATACATTCTGACCTACCATGCTACTTTTTTAAACTAAAAATTGATTAAAAAACTTAAAATGTAAGTAAAGTACTTAATAATGCTAAATAATAGGTAGATTTAAATGAGAAGTCAAAAATCATTTGGCCCAACCTCCAATGCAATGTAGGAATCTCTTTAATGTTTATGTTTTCCCAGCATTTTAGAAAACAGATGTAGCCAAACTTACTATCAGTAAATAGGAGAGTGGTATGAGACAATTCAGAGAAGCTGCTTGTTATATCTCAACCATTCCTGAAAAAAAATCAGTGAATTAAAGCACAAAGGCTGATTAATTCCAGCAAATACATGCTGAGTCCCTGTTGTTTGCTGTATTCTGAGAATGTGAAAGACGATTCTCAAAGAATAAGAGGAGTTCCTATGCTCAAGAAATTTGAGGCAAGACCATTTGCTAAGCTTTAAGTATTCAGAAATGAAAAAGGTATCATTGGAACACAGGTTATTAATATATACAGAGAAACCTTTGTGGGGGCAGAAAAAGGAGAGGGAAAATGATGACTGTGAAGGGATGGAGAAGAGGCTAAAAGGATAATTAATAAATGGTACACTGTGTTTTTGAGTTTTTTTGTTTGTTCGTTTGTTTTTTTAGACAGAGTCTCACACTGTCGTATGGGCTGGAGTGAAGTGTTGCCATCTCAGCTCACCGCAACCTCTGCTTCCCAGGTTCAAGTGATTCTCCTGCCTCAGCCTCCCGAGTAGCTGGGATTACAGGCGCCCACGACCACAGCCAGAAAATTTTTTGTATTTTTAGTAGAGACGAGGTTTCGCTATGTTGGCCAGGCTGGTCTTAAACTCTTGACCCTGTGATCCACCCACCTTGCCCTCCCAAAGTACTGGAATTACAGGCATGAGCCACCGTGCCCAGCCGAGGTTTCTTTTAATATTACTACTTTGGAATACAAATTAAAGCTTTAATTATGTGAAAGACTGCATTATTCAACAATAACTGATAAACGTGGCCTGATTAAGATGTTTATACTAATACAGGCTATAAGTTTAAATATTCTTTAAATAATGTAAAGAGATTTTATCTAGAATTTGATTTCATATGTACATGTTAAAAGACAGACCTACTAGTCAGCTTATAAATGTAAATATATGTTAAAAAAAGAGGCCCGGCGTGGTCGCTCACACCTGTAATCTCAGCACTTTGGGAGGCTGAGGCAGGTGGATCACCTGAGGTCAGGAGTTCAAGACCATGGCCAACATGTTGAAACCCCGTCTCTACTAAAAATACAAAAAATTAGCCAGGTGTGGTGGCAGGTTCCTGTAATCCCAGCTACTCGGGAGGCTGAGGCAGGAGAATCACTTGAACCCAAGAGGCAGAGGTTGTAGTGAGCCGAGATCACAGCACTGCACTCCAGCCTGGGCAACAAGAGTGAAACTCCATCTCAAAAAATAAAACAAGAAAGGAAAACCTTTCGGAGAAATCTGAAAGAACAGTTCCATCATACATACTGAATTACTAAAAGAGATGATATGCCCCAATGTTTCTATAATTAAAACATTGACTTGTTGATGAAACAGTCAAAATCTTGAGTTAAAAGATTATCCTGATTGTATGAAAGTTTAAAAGCCCATAAAGCAAACTAAATAGATTAACTTGTTAAAAAGCACTCAAGACTAACATGTTATTCTAATAAACAGCATGTGGTATATTATTTGAGGACATTTTGCATGTCCTCAATCAGGCAATCTGTAACAGACAGCCACAAACTGTGCTAAAGCATTAAAGCCTTTTTCAAAGTATATTCCTAATGCACAAATCTAGAACAAATGGGCTGCAAAAGAATATATAAAATAAAAGGAATTCCACCAGTAACTATAGCGTGGTAATTATAAAACCTACTGCCCATAGAAAAACAATGCCAGGATGATCACTAACACTTATTTTTAAAACGTTAATCTGTCTTCACAACATTGTTATCACTCCTCAAAAATTCATATAATTGGGCCTTCTTTAAAAACCCTAAAGCCACTCTGTATCTTCCCAATAAGCCATCCAATGACCTTTAGAGAACCTCTCAACATCAGTCATAGTGTTACACTCCTTTACCTCAAGATCATATTCACCTCGTCCCTAAAACTAGACATAAGAATCCTAATTCTCTTGGTATAAGTCTTTCGCAATGTTTAAAAAAAAGAACTCAAAATATACGTAAAACCCTTAAAAGCACTCCAACTAAGCAGACAGTATTACTCGCATTTGACAAATGTAAAAACAGAAATCTACTGCATAACAGCATAAGCCTAGCAGTTGAGAGTAATAAATCTACACTCACTCTGATTACTCAACTGGAATTAAAACTAATTCTTTTCGGTATCCTACATTTTAGGAAATGTATTAAAAAGGCAATAAAACCTCATCAAAAGCCAAAATATACTGCATATTTCTAAATATCACACTATTCTGCAATATTTTAAGGCAGAAGCCACAGAGATTGAAGCTTAAAAAAAATGAGAATCCTTAAGAATGAAACTAGGGGCTGGGCACGGTGGCTCACCTCTGTAATCCCAGCACTTTGGAAGGCCAAAGATGGTGGATCACTTGAGGTCAGGAGTTGGAGACCAGCCTGGCCAACATGGTGAAACCCTGTCTCTACTCAAAATACAAAAATTAGCTGGGCGAGGTGGCAGGCGCCTATAATCCCAGCTACTCGGGAGGCTGAGTCAGGAGAATCACTTGAACTAGGAAGGTGGTGGTTGCAGTAAGCCAAGATCACGCCACTACACTCCAGCCTGGGTGACAGAGCAACTCTATCTCAAAAAAAAAAAAAAAAAAAAAAAAAAAAGGAATGAAACTAAAGAATATTGGCCACAATTAAGACACAACAAGCAATATTGTACTACAGGTACTACAAACAAGTATTTTAACGGCTCAAAGTTTTTTTTCAACTTCTGAAACAATCTAAATGTTGCAAAAGCTTCTTTCTAATGCTCTCAGACTAAGCTTGTTTTTTTCTTGTGGATCAGTAAAACACAAAGAGGAGTTGTTGGTAATGGGGTTCAAACCACAGAACATTCTAACGGAAAACAGACTACTACTGAGGAAAAATCAGACTACAGTTTAATTTCATAATATATTTACATACCAGCACAGAATATCCCTGGGACTTCACTCCTGATTATTATGGTCCGTACTTTCTTATCAGATTTCAAAGCATCCACAGCTTTTGATAGCTAAACAGAAATAGGAAGCATACGAGGGAAAAGAGAAAAATAAAATTTTACATTGAGGACAATAATGTATCTTAATATTAGAAGCAAACAGTTTAATCTTTACACTCACCATTTTTATAAGATTTTTACTGAGTGCATTTTTGCCATAAGCTCTGTTTATTCCAAGCACCACAATTCCTAGTTAAAGGGGAAAAAAAGTACAAGCACTTGAGTGAGCGAGGCATTCACAGAACAGATTCTACATCACACATCTAGCTAACTTCGAACTTAACAAATCAAAGAAATTCAGGATATCACATTCCCTTCCACTGACCTCTTCTTAAGCACCAAGGTAATTTGCAACATTTTGGTAAATTTTACATCACTCAAACTAGAGGGAAGACCACACTTATCAGTGAAAATTTTAAGTTAAAGGATACTATTTAAAATGTGGTTTCATCATCTTCAAGTAGATACAGAAGTAACAGCTAATAAACCTTGTTACATGCAGGTATTACAGCATCTGCTTTTTCTAGGATGCCAGTTCTAAATATCTCAATTTTTTGTTGTTGTTGTTCATACTACATAGTTTTCAGTAATTCTATGCCAGGTTTCTCTCCTGATTTCTGTCTGATACACTTAACCTGAGGGCACTTCCATTTAGATGTCCAACAAGTACTTTCAACTCAACCTATATAAAACAAAGTTCATTATCTCTCCCACAAACCCAGCTGTCACTCTTAACTGCCCCATTTTTTAAATCAAAAACCATCATCTAAACCCAGCCTCCCATTCCTTCCAGTTACCAATTTTCTAAAAACCATACTAAGCATAGAATTCACCCCCTACTTAAAATCCTTTCATTATTTATTTCAAAATATGCAACTTCAAAGACCTTAATTTGATATTCAAAGTTCTGCACAACCTCTACTGACCTTCTCGTTCCTGGAGTAGACAAACTTTCACTGTGTATCGGAAATACCTTCCACTGAGTCAGGGTGGGTATGGTTCTCGTTTGCAACTGAGTTAAACTGAAGACAACAAAACGTACACATGCCTTCGCTGTGCAAGAAACTGTGCAGAATCATTTTTTAAAGTATAAAAATGAACTTCTGCTCACAAAAGAGTAAGTCTGCAAGAATGCCAAATGCTCTCAGTACAGAGAAAAGCATGAAGGACTGCTATCTGACAGGATCTGTATTAAAAAGCTGAACGACTTTAGGTAGGTCCCAATACTACTGACAACAGCTACCATCGGTAGGCCTCAGGCACTGCTCCAGGTGCTTTAAGCGAATTAACTCATGTAATCCCCAACACAACCCAAGAGGTGGGCACTATTTTTATCCTTAGTTAACAGATAAAGAAATGGAGACTTGGAGAGGTGAAGTAACTTCCTTCAGCTATTAAGTGCTAATCTAACTCTGTATTTGAATAAAACTGTGTTACACTGTTCAAGCTTCAGTTTCCTCAGGAAGGAAATCAAGCAGCTAAGACTAGATGTGTCCATTCATTCAAACATACTGAGGATGTACTATAGTGATCAGCAGCCAACGAACTAGAGTCTAGGAGGGAAATACAAACATTAATAATCATAGAAATCATTAATAACCATAAATGTCATTAATAACGAATTCAAACTGCTTTACAAGCTGTAAGTGGTGCCCCAGTAACTTGTAACCAGAACTGATAATGATCTAGGGCAAAAGGAGATGGATAGGGAAAGCTTACCCCAGACAGTGGAGGTTAGAAGGATGAGTAGGAGTTAAGGTGAGAGGGAAGGAGAGGGGCTGACTGCCAGGCAGTGAAAACAGGAAAAGCATAAACTAGTCACGGTCCCACTGAATGTCCTGTCACCTACGAGGCGAAGAGAGTGACCAATGAAAGTAAACAGGTGAGCACAGGCCAGAAATATCCTTATAGACCTACTGAAAAGTCTGTTCTTCACTCTAAGAACCACTGAAGGAGTTTACGTAGGTATAAACATACACACATGCACATATAAAACTGGAGAGGGAACAGTTTCTATATTTGAAGGTCATACCAGAAGTAGACAGGGGTGGGAGCTTCAAGACACAACTGGAGTCCAATCAACAGATAACAGGTCTGGCTGAGATAGGTAGTGGTAGAAATAAAGGAAAGTGAAAGGATTCAAGAACCATTCAAAATTTTAAATGAGTTAATGATGCCTAGACAGAGGACTGATTTAACTGGAAGAAAGTGTTAGGGAGTATTAACCAGGTTTCTGGCTTCAGCAATTGGATGAAAGAAGATGACATTTAATGAGACAAAATCATAAAAAATACCGTGGTGAGGGTGGAGGGGAGTAAAGCTCATGAGTTCTGTTTTGAATTAAAGTGAATCTGAAGTGACTTTCAGACATCCAAGCTGACACCACTTCCAAGGGCTAAGAATGCAGGCTCTAAGGTGTGATTGCTGGGGATGAAATCCCAGTCTGCCGCTTACTAGCTATTGGGCAAGTTACTTAACCTCTCTGATCCTCAGTTTCTTACTCTATGAAGACACTAACAGTTCCACACTCCATGGGACTGTATTAGAATCAAATGATATGATAGATGTAAAACTTACAACATGAGCACCCAATTACCCTCCCTTCTAGCATGAACACTTCTCATGCAATAAGCATTAAAGTTTCACCATAATTTCTGCTAGATAGGATACTGCTAACATTATTACTGAACTGTAAAGTGCCATGAAAATGTTTCTATCACAGTCAATTCCAGCAGTTTTGGTCACATATTTGAGACTTGATGTTTTGAGTACTTCCACTTCAAAAAGCTAGAAATCAGTTCTGCAATCTGAAATGAAGTATCTAATATGTAACAACTGTACCATCAAATGTATCTGTAGGCTTTTGGTACTCTAAAATGGAATAAAACCTTAGCTTTTATTCAGCAAAGTCTAAACTTTTTTGTTTTATAACTGTCTCACTTTAATTCACAACTCAATCACTTCTCAAGAACTCAATTATCATGCATCCTCCTCACATAACCTAGACAAGTTTACCAACTCAGAAAAGCTTAGGCATTCACATGCCAACCTTAATTTTCCTGACTTTTCACAAAACATACAAAAATCTTCAGTGAATCTGTAACAAGGTCACATCACAGCATTAATCCTGCTCCATAAAGCTCACACAACTGAAAGACGAATGTAACAACTTTGCTGAGACTTTAAAAAGAAACAGAAATACATTTTGCTTAAACAAAATTGAAAAAACACACTCAAAGTGAAAGTCCTCCTTCGGTAGAATCAACTCACTCCCTTCCCCAGAGGAAGCCACAGTTATCACAGTTACATGTAATGTAACCTTCCAGAAAATGTTCAACATATTTACATACAGAAACAGAGTTGTATATTACCATTTGGCTTGTTGTTGCTATTTTACATAAATGGATCATATGTTCTGTTGGTGCTATTCTACATAAATAGGTTCATACATATTTCTTTTTTTTTTTAAAGAGACAAGGTCTTGTTGTGTCACCCAGACTGGAGTGCAGCGGCTCCATCACAGCTCACTGCAGCCTCAAAGTCCTGGGCTCAAGTAATCCTCCCGTCTCAGCCTCCTGAGTAACTGGGACTACAGGCAGGCGCTACCACGCCCAGCTGGTTTCGCCAATTTTCTGAACTAAAGTTGAGTTAATTAACTAAAGATCTCAATGAAACTCAACTAAAGGTCTCAATGGAGCTAGAGACCATTATTTTACATGAAGTAATTCAGGAATGGAAAACCAAACACCATAAGTTCTCACTTAGAACTGGGAGCTAAGCTATGGGTACACCAAGGCAAAACAGTGGTGTAACAGACATTGGAGAGTATAAGGGGGCAGGGTGGGAAGGTTGAGGGATTTTAAAAAACTACATATTGGGTACAATGTACACTACTCCAGTGATAGGTACACTAAAATCTGAGACTTGACTACCAGACAATTCATCCACTTGTAACCAAAAACCACTTGTACCCCAAAAGCTACTAAAATAAAATAAACAAGGGCATTACATGATAAAAACGGGGTCATTTCTCCAATAAGACATAATAATCCTAAATATGTATGCACCAAACAATAGTACATCAAATTATGTGAGTTAAAAACTGATAGTGCAAGGAGAAACAAATCTACTATTATAGTTGCAGATTTTAACTTACTTCTATCAGTAATTGACAGATCCAACAGGCAGAAAATCAGTAAGAGTATAGTTGAATTGAGCACCACCATCAATCAACTAGATCTAACTGAACAGTAGAGCCAACTGCATATAAAATTCTTTATCTGCAAAAGGCACAATTTTGTACATAGAAAATAGTAAGAAATCCACTTAAAAAAAACTATTAGGAACAAACTAACAAGTTCAGCAAAGTTGTATGATACAAGCCAATATACAAAAACCAATTTATTCTGTAATTTCTATACAATAGCAATGAGCAATCTGAAAATGAAATTAAGAAAAATCTATTTAAATTCAAAAAGAATATTTTGGGATAAATTTAACTAAAGTAGTGTAAAACCTATATACTGTAGACTGAAAACTACAAAACACTGTTGAATAGAAAAATATATCATGATCATGGATTGAAAAAATTAACACTGTTAAGATGGCAATACTCCCCAAATTAATCTACCTATTCAACACAATCCCCATCAAAATCCCAAATTTTTTTGCAGAAATTCACAAGCTGATCCTAAAATTCACGTGGTAATACAAGAGTTCCATAATAGCCAAAACACTCCTGAAAAAGAACAAAGTTGGAGAAGTCATGCTATCCAATTTCAAATTTCACTACACAGCTATAGTAATCAGTTTGGTACTAGCATAAGGATAGATACATAGATCAATGGAATAGACTTGAATATCCAGAAGTAATCCCTTATATTTACGGTCAATTAATTTTCAACAAGGATACCAAGACAACTTAACGGTGAAAGACTCATCTTTCCACAAATGGTGCTGAGACAACTACATAGCCACAAGTAAAGGAATGAAGTTAGACCTCTTACTACACACCACATATAAAAATTAACTCAAAATTGGATCATAGTCACAGATGAACATAACAGTGAAAACCATAAAACTCACACAAGAAAACATAAGTGTAAATCTTTGTAAACTTGGGTTAGGCAATAGTTTCTTAGGTATAATCTAAGGCATAGCTACAAAAAGAACAAATAGAGAAATTGAACTACATCAAAATTAAAAACACTAGTTCTTCAAAATATACCATCAAGAAAGTCAAAAGACAACCCAGAGAATGGGAGAAAATATTTGCAAACTATCCATCTGACAAGAGACTTGTATCCAGTCTCAAAAATAAAAAGACAACTCTCATGCTTCAACAATAAAAAGATAATCCAATTTAAAAAGTGGCAAATGGGCCAGGCGCAGTGGCTCACGCCTGTAATCCCAGCACTCTGGGAGGCTGAGGCGGGCAGATCACGAGGTCAAGAGATCAAGACCATCCTGGCCAACACAGTGAAACCCTTAGCTGGGCATGGTGGCGGGCGCCGTGCGGGCGCCTGTAGTCCCAGCTACTTAGGAGGCTGAGGCAGGAGAATCCCTTGAACCCGGCAGGCGGAGTTTGCAGTGTGCCGAGATCGCACCACTGCACTCCAGTCTGGGAGACAGAGTGAGATTGTCTCAAAAAAAATTTTTTTTAATAAAAAATAAAATAAAAAAGTGGCAAAGGATATGAGTAGACATTTCTCCAAATGTATGCACATGGCCAATATGTGCATGAAAAAATGTTCCAACAGAGAGTTGAACCTGATCTCAAGCTCTCCTACAACACAGCCCCATCATGGTAGTCCTTTTGAATAGTATTCCTCAACATCTTTTAAAAAAGAAAAAAAAAAGATGTACAACATCACTAGCCATGAGGGAAAACCAAATCAAATCACAAAAAGTTACCATTTCCCACCCACTAGGGTGGCTAATAAAAGAACAATACCACGTGTTGCCAAGATGTGGAGAAACTGGAGCTCTCATGCTTTGCTAGTGAGCATATAAAATGCAGACGCTTGAGAAAACAGTTTAGCAGTTC